CTGGCGGAAGGCCGGCGGAAGTAAGATTCGCCCCCCCCCCCCCCCTCTCGAGAGATGCAGTTTCGTTGGGTCCAAGGGCCCCCGCCGTGACCGAAGATGCTCCCGAGGGCAGCGGGTCCCAGCCTTCGGTGTGTTGCCCCCCCTGGGACCACGCGCGGGAAACTTTCGTTTGGACTTTTCCATGTTTGTGCGCCTATCTGCTCGCGCCATAGGTGCTTCAGGCTGTGCCGAAATAGTAAGGCAAGATGAGGAGGAGGAGGAGGAATAATAATAATAATAATCATACGAAGAAGAATAATAATACGAATAATAATAATAATAATAATAATAATAATAAGACGAATAATCATATTAATAATACGAATAATGATATTAATAATAATAATCATAATAATCATACTCATAATACTATTCATAATAATAATACTGATGATAATAATATTGATCAGGGTAATGATGATGATAATACTAATAATAATAAGAATAATAACAATAATACTAACAATAATGAGAATAAGAAGAATAATCATACTAATAAGAATACTACGAACAATAATAAGAAGAAGAAGAATAATACGAATAATAATAATAATAATAGTAAGACACATAATAATACCAATAAGAATAAGAATAATACTAATAATCGTGAGAACAGGAATACTAAGAATATTAATAATGATAAGAAGAAGACGAATAATAATAATGATAATATTAATAATAGTAATAATAACATTACTAACAATAATAATACTAATAATAATAAGAATAAGAATAATAATACTGATACTAATAATAATACTAATAATACTACTACTAATACTAATTCTAATAATCATAATAATAATATTAATACTACTAATAATACTAATAATAATACTAATAATATTGATAATATTAATGATAATAATAATAACAATAATAATACTACTACTACTACTACTAATAATAATAATAATAATACTAATAATAATGCTACTAATAATAATAGTAATCATATTAATAAGAATAATAATAAGAATAATAACACGACGAACAATAATAATAACAATAATAAGAATAATAAAAGGAGGAGGAGGAGGAGGAGGAGGAGGAGGAGGAAGGAGGAGGAGAAGGGGGAGGAGGAAGTGAGGAGGAGGAGGAGGAGGACGAGGAGGAGGGAGGAGGGGAGAGGAGGAGGAGGAAGGAGGAGGGGAGGGGGAGGAGGAGGAGAGGAGGAGGAGGAGGAGGAGGAGGAGGGAGGAAGAAGATGAGGAGGAGGAGGAGGAGGAGGGAGGAGGAGGAGAAAGGGGAGTAGGAGGAGGAGAGGAGGAAGGAAGAGGAGGACGAGGAGGACGAGGAAGAAGATGAGGAGGAGGAGGAGGAGAGGAGGAGGAGGGGGAGGAGGGAGGAGGAGAGGAGGAGGGAGGAGGAGGGAGGAGGGGAGGAGGGAGGAGGGAGGAGGAGGGAAGGAGGAGGCGGAGGAGGAGGGAGGAGGAGGAGGAGGCGGAGGAGGAGAGGAGGGGAGGAGGAGGAGGAGGGAAGGAGGGAGGGAGGGAGGAGGGAGGAGGGAGGAAGGAGGTGGGAGGGGAGAGGAGGAGGAGGCGGAGGAGGGGGAGAGGGAGAGAGGAGGAGGAGGAGGAGGAGGAGGAGGAGGAGGAGGAGGAGGAGGAGGAGGAGGAGGAGGAGGAGGAGGAGGAGTGAGTGAGTGACTACGGTCGCGAAGCGAGTTCGGTGACTGACGGCCCCTGACGAGATGACTTGGCTCGGCCTTGGGCCTTAGGCCAACGGCCTGCAGCTATGTGGGCCAAATACTCATCACGCTTGGGACTCGCGGCCTCTAGACACGGGGATCCGAGGCCTCTTAAACACTGACTGGCGTAACTCCCACACTGACCCCTTATGTAACGCATCCGATGACTACTATGCACCTCCCCTCCCGCAATATGCAGCGTGTCCCTTTCTGGAAGCCCAGAAATCACCCCTATCACTGTTAGTTGGGACAAAACACGGGCGAGCAGACCAGGCGGCACGAGCGGCGATGGTAGCGGAGCTGAAACATCTGAGACATCTGCGCCCACTTCCGTCAAGCGAATGGGCAGTTGCGAAAGTACACACAGCCGAAGGAGCGGGAGGGGGCTGAGGGCGCTCACGTTTTTTTCTTCCGAGCCTCACCAGCCATTTCTTTTTCACACTCCAACACATCGATCGTAGCACGAAGGAGCCTGACACGTACCAAGAAAGCCCTTTGGTTGACCTCTCGAGAAGCATGCCGCTCGATCTCGGGAATTCGGTGCCTATCGGCGGCAGCCCTGGACATAAGATCGGCCACCGTATTGCCCTGCACCGTCCACGGCGGTGCAGTACGAGCAGCCGGCTCCTTCTCGCCGAAATGCGAGTCGATGAACAGCACACTGGAGTCACCAGCATCGCGAATACGAAACATCTGTCCCAGCTGCCACCACAAGTCCGCGTCTGGCCCTGTGGGAAACTGGTATCGCTGGGTCGCCCATCCGTCGGCCACCCACTGTTGTCCGTTACGTAAATGACTCGTCCAGAGCTGGTTTGTGCAGCAGGTAACAGCGCCCTCAGCTCGCCCCACGGGACTGTCTGGCTCTTTCCCGCCAACGGCCCTGAGACTGAAGCTCCCACTCGGAAAGGCACCAAACTAGATGTCTGTACAATTGCGACTCCAACCCGTCTGAACACATTACTGCTGGAATCGGCTCCCCCACTGGCATCACCACATATACAAATCGGTTGCTGCTGCAGACCATGGCCGAAAGACTCCGTTGAAAGCTCGGTCCCTGGAGTACCCACGGCAACCCATGCTTCAGACATCGGTGGTGGCAAAAAAGGCCACCCACTCGGAAGGGATCAATCCTCTCAGCCAAAGGCATTCATCTGCATGGGCTTGAGTGTGGACTGCGCCTGCAAGCGAATCAGAGTGCACACAGGCGGCTGACCCACTATTCTTGGCGCGGCCCCACGCCCGATGGAACATATCCTCGTCGGCTTCGCCACACCGAGGGCACAACCTGGTCACGTGCTCCCCCTTGGCGGCTTCATTTCGGCGGACCCTCGACCACGAAGCACCGTCACCAGAAGCTCCGCCAATCTATGGCCACGAGGCATGGCCTGGAACTGTTGATGCAGGGCTCGCACGGAAGTCATGCCAGCTCCTTTCTCCATGCCTGCGCCACAGAAATGGCGAGATGCATCCTGCCACAGCCGGCTGGAAATGGACTACTGAACGTCTGCAATCCAATCCAGCGGAGCATCCACATCCTCGAAACTTGTCCAGACATCGTCCTCAAACTGCCAGGTGATAGTTTCCTCAGGAGCTGCTCCAGGAAAAGACAACGAAATTGCCGTCTCTGGCGACCACCCATTGCCGAGTAACAAACTGATGATAGCAGACATGGGTCCCCTGATGTGCCTCGAGCGCTGCGATGGCTCGACCTCCCGAAGACGTTTCACTGTCAGTGGCCAAGCCCGCGAAACACAGCGACGGATGTCAGGTTCCGTCTGCCACACCTGAAACCACGTACGAATGCACTCCGCAGGCAGGCGCAAGGCTGGGTCCTGCGGAGCACGCACAGCGAGCAGACTAGTTAAGCACCGCCCTCGCGACGGGGCTGCTAGAGCCGCTCCAAGCCTGCGCCTATACGTAGTGAGGTAGACCCCGAACACGCCGTGGGTCTGGAAGCCGTAGCCGCCAGCTGCCTGACCACCAAGCCTCTCGAGCTTGGACGTGGTGGCGTAGCGCCTCCCAGTCGCCGCAAACTTGCGGACCTGCGCGTGCATGGCGTCGTACTTCCGAAACCTCTTCCTGCGCGTCTCACTTGCATGTCGGCGCCCGCACCCCAGATCAACTCCAAGATAGCCTGCAGTGCGCTGCGCCCGAACTGTATACCCTGTAACACGAAGAGCACGAGTAACACGAACTGCGCCAGCATGCCGAGATGATGATGATGATGATGAGGAGGAGGAGGAGCAGGAGGAAGGAGGAAGGAGGAGGAGGAGGAGGAGGAGGAGGAGGAGTATGAGGAGAGGAGGACGCGGAGCAGGAGAGGTGGGGGAGGAGGAGGAGGATGAGATTAGGAGGAGGAGGAGGAGGGAGGGAGGAGGCGGAGGAGGAGAGGAGGAGAGGCGGAGGAGGTGGGAGAGGAGCGGAGGAGGAGGAGAGGGGGTGCGGAGGAGGAGGAGGAGGAGATGCGGTGGTGGAGGAGGAGGAGGGGAGGAGGATGGGAGGTACGAGAGGGACGTGGAGGAGGAGGAGAGAGGAGGAGGAGGAGGAGGAGAGGAGGAGGAGGAGGAGGAGGGAGGAGAGGGGGAGGAGGAGGAGGAGGAGGGAGGAGAGGAGGAGGAGGAGGAGGAAGGAGGAGGATGAGGAGGAGAAGGGAGAGGACGAGGGAGAGAGGAGGAGGAGACGAGGAGGACGAGGAGGACGAGGAGGACGAGGAGGACGAGGAGGACGAGAGGACAAGGAGGACAGGAGGAGGAGAGGAGGAGGAGGAGGAGGAGAGGATGAGGAAGATGAGGGAGGAGGGAGGGAGGGAGGAAGGAGGGAGGAGGAGGAGAGGAGAAGGGGAGGAGGAGAGAAGGAGGAGGAGGAAGGGGAGGAGAGGAGGAGAGAGGAGAGAGGTGGAGGAGGAGGAGGCGGGGAGGAGGAGAGGCGAGGAGGAGGAGGAAGAGGAGGAGGAGGAGGAGGAGGAGGAGGCATAAGAGGAGGAGGAGGAGGATGAGAGGAGAAGGACGAGGAGGAGAGCGGAGGAGGAGACGATGAGGGGAGGTCTAAGGAGAGAGGATGATGGGAGAGGGAGGAGGAGCAGCAGCAGCAGCACGGAGGAGGAGAGGAGGAGACGAGGAGGAGGAAGGAGGGTAGGAAGGATTGAGGGGAATGAGGGGAAGAGGAGGAGGGAGAGGGGAGGAGGGGAGGGAGGGAGGAGGGAGGAGGAGGAGGAGGAGGAGGCGGAGAGGAGGAGAGGAGGAGGCGGAGGAGGAGGGCCCCGTCTGCTCAGGTCCTGGTCCGGGGACATGGTGGCGCCCGCGCCCTCCTGCCGGCTCGACGGCGGAGCGCCCTCGTTGGTCAGCGGCGCGCCCTCGGGGGGCGCGCCTCGGCCTCCTCTTGCAATTCCTCCTCCTTCCTTCTCCCTCCTCCGCCTTCCTCCTCTGGCTGCGCTCTGCCTCCGCCTTCTCCACCCCGTCCTTTTCCTCCTCATCCCCCTGCTCCTCTGCCTCCTCCTCCTCCCCTCTCAATCCAATCCCAATCCTCCTCCTCCTCTCCCCCGGTCTCCCTCCCTCCTTCTCTCCGTCACTCCTCCTCCACCTCGTCCTCCTCCTCCTCCTCCTCGTCCTCTTTCTCCTCCTCCTCCTCCTCCCTTCTCCCTTCTCCCTCCCTCCCTCCCTCCCTTCATCCCTCCCTCTCTTCCTCCCTTTCTTTGGTCCAACTTGAGCCTAAGGGGGGTCTTCGAATGAATCCCCCTGGCTGCACTGCCCCGTGGCAGGACGTCCTGTCCTCGGGCGGCACAGCAAGGTGGTACACCAGGCCCGTGGACTCACCAATGTGGTTCTGGCGACCCTACATCACATCACTTCAGGCCTCCTCCTCCGCCCTCCTCATCTTTGTGCTCATCTGTTCCCTTCTCCTTCTCAGCATCATCATCATCACCACCATCCTCCTCCCCCTCTTCCCCCTCCCACTCCCATCCCCTTGCCTCATCTGGCCATGAGTGCCACCTGCTCCAGATTCTGAACGGAGTTTGATGCTGTGCAGTGTATGTGTATGTGTGTGTGTGTGTGTGCGTGTGCGTGTGCGTGTCCGTGTGTGCTCTTGTGTGTGTGTGGGTGTATGTGTGTGTAAGTGTGTGCGTGTGCGTGCGAATAATAGTCTCCTCGCTTTCTGGCCGCTGCATGTTTCGTGTGGACTTACAGTTCCTCCAACACACCCACCGCCTGCATGTTGCAGTGTGCGACGGTTCGTACTCTGCGCCTTCGGCAATTCTCGATCGCACGTTGCACTTCCATATGCTGCTCGCGTTTGAGGACCCTCTGCGCCGCTTACCCAAGTGTGTGTATGTGTATGTGTGTGTGTCTGCATGTATGTATGTATGTATGCACGCATGCATGGATGTCTGTATGTTTGTATGCACGTATGTATGGACGGATGTTTATTTGGTTGTTTGTTTGTTTGTTTGTTTGTTTGTTTGTTTGTTTGTTTGTTTGTTTGTATGTATGTATGTATGTATGTATGTATGTATATATGTATGTATGTATGTATGTATGCATGTCTGTGTATGTTTGTTTGTGCGTGTCTGTATGGACATGTGCGTGTTTGCGCGTGCGTGCGTGCGTGCGTGCGTGCATGCGTGCGTGCGCGCGCGCGTGTGTGTGTGTGTTGATGTGTGTTGGTGTGTGTGTGTGTGTTTTGGGTGGGGCTGTCCCCCTGTCGCGCCGCGGCTCCTCCTCCTCTTCCTCCGTGCATTGCGGCCTCAACTTGCATACAGCGTGTCCCCTGTTGCCATTCCGCCGGAGCAGTCACCCTCTGCCCAGCCGCCGACGCAAAAAAGTGTGTTGGGTGGGTGGGGGGCGGGAGTTGATGTGTCAGTATCGCCGGGAACTTGCGACGTCCGTGGCCGCCCGACGGTCCCTTTGACAAGTGTCTGGAGGCTTTGTCTCGCCTCGCTCATGGGCTCCCGCCAACGTTGGGGATGCCGTTCCCTCTCGAGTGCGTGTGCTGATGATGCGTCCAGGGTTGCACTTGGGGCCCGCAATCGTTGCTCAATGATCAATGTTTCTCCTTCGCCTTACACTTCTCCGCTTCTTTCTCCGCCTCCTCTACTGCCTTCTCCTCTAGTTTCTCCTCCTTTTTCTTTTTCCTCCTCCTCCTCCTCTTCCTCCTCCTCCTCTCTCCGGGCAGGCTCGGGATCATGAGTTTTTGTTGGCCCAACCTTCACCAGCACCGCTCTCAAGGATGGGGGAGCCCATGTGCACCTCCCAAACCAACAGGGCCACGCCTACCCTCAAGGGCAGCAGCATCACGCTACGACAGTCCTCGTCCTCCTCCTCCTCCTCCTCTCTTCCCCCTTCCCCCTCCTCCTCCTCCTCCTCCTCCTCCTCCTCCTCCTCCTCCTCCTCCTCCTCCTCCTCCTCCCCGTCCTGGCATGAGGGTGCAAAACGGAATTGTCTGGCTGATGCTTGGGGGGGAGTTGTGTTCAGGGGAGATTGCAGCACCGCTCAGCGCTGTGTTTTTTAACCGACACTGCAGGGTGGGCCACCTTTCTCTGCTCGGTTCCAGCGGAGCCTCTTCAAGTTCCCATTCTGACTCGCCAGTTTGCTGCTTGCTGCTGCTGCTGCTGCTGCTTGTCGTCGTCCCGTCATGGTGCCCTGCTCCAGGGGCCCAGCAAGGCATAAGGGTGCAAACCCGACTTGTCTGGCTGAGGAGGAGGAGGAGGAGGAGGAGGAGGAGGAGGAGGAGGAGGATGATGATGATGATGAGGAGGAGGAGGAGGAGGAGGAGGAGGAGGAGCCGTTTACGAGGGGGAGGGGCAGAACGAGGAGTAAGGCCCGCGCGACGCCTGCGGGGGCGCTCGCGCGCGCCTCCTCCGGTCATGCTCCTCGGCGCCCCTTTTCTCTTCGTGTGTGCTTTCTTGGCGGTCTTTCCTTGGGCCCCCCAGACGGGCCTCCAGAGACAGGACATCGTGGACAGCTGGCCACCGCGCTTTTTCTTTCACGCACTGGAGGGTTCCTCGGCTTTCGGGGCTCAAGACATCGGCCCCTGGGCCTGTCCCCAGGAGTGCGATTCGACCAACATCTGGGGACGACTCTGGTGGCGGTGACGGGGAAACCCGGGGAACTTCGAAAATAGTGAGAAACGCCAGAAATTTGGCCCATCGGTCAACTTCCTAGGGTGCCTTGCACACAACGCCCTCGTCCTCCTCCACTTTGCTTCTGCTCCTCCTCGTCTGTCGTCGGCGTCGGCGTCGTCGTCGTTGTCGTCGTCGTCGTCGTCGTCGTCCCGTTATCGTCGTGGTCGTCGTCGTCGTCGTCGTCGTCGTCGTCGTCGTCGTCGTCGTCGTCGTCGTCGGCGTCGTCGTCGTCGTCGTCGTCGTCCTTGAGCACGGGGGGGTGGGCCTGAACCAGCCAGGCGGGGAGCCCTCTCCCGCCGACAACCCCGGCGAGCGGGCCGCCCTGGAGCCCGCCGTCGTCGATCGATCGCCGCCGCCGCCGTTCGCCGCCGCACCCGCCCCGGATGTCCGACGATGTTATGTTTTCAATCATGCATATTCCCTCTTCCTCCTCCTCCTCTTCCTCTTCCTCTTCTTCTTCCTCCGTAGCCATTTTGGCTCAAGATGCCTTGTTCCCCAGGAGACCAAACGGATACCGCTAGTCCGCGGCTGCTTTCATATTCTCCGCCTGGTTCTCCCCAGGTGCGGAGCCCTGCTTCAGTCAGCAGGGCCGTCAGCGCATGGGCCGCCATGCGGGCAGCAAAGGCGCGTGCGGCAAGGGCAAGGATAAGTCGGGCACCTTCGTCAGCTGCTCGGCGTGCCGCTATCGCTGGAACTTCAAGTCCAACCACTGGTGCTACCAGTGCTGCTCGCCGATGGTGCCGCACCCCTCGCCTGACAAGATGCCCACTGGCCAGTGGTCGTTCGGCCCGCCCACGCTCGCGTCGAACCCGTTCGACACCGCCGCGGGTGCGGCGCCGCCTGGGGGTGGCCAATCCAAGGGCCCTCCTGTTCCGCCGAGGGCCGCCAAGGGCGCGCCGAAGGAGCGCCGCCCATGGGTCTGGCATGGACCAGGCTGGTACCCCTACGGCGGCGGGCCGCCGCCAGAGGAGCCGCGTGATGCACCGCGGCCTGCAGACCCCCTCGCGCTGCTCCGCGAGAAGCTGGGCGACTGCGACGAGCTCGTGGCCCTGTCCGCCAAGCTGGCCGCCACGGGGCAGCCTGCCGCCGAGGCCCCTCGCCGCCCGCCCCTCTTGGAGGAGGAGGTCTCCGCGAAGGGGATCGCGTGCAGGCGCGCGCAGGCGTGGCTCGAGACCTGTGCGCGCCGTGCCGTCGAGGGCGAGGCCTGGCTGGCCGACGCCAAGGCTGCAGAGGACGCGGCGGCGGAGGCGGCGCACCAGGCCCAGCATGACTGGGAGGAGGCTTGCGCCAAGCAGCTGCCGACGCCCTCGACGCCGCGGTCTGAGACGGCATCCGCTGCTACGGCCATCAACTTCTCGACGCTCGTCGACGAAGGCTCGCTGCGCTTCGTCGATGGCCCCCTCTTTGACCTGGAGGGCCTCGAGATCGACGAGACGGAGCGCACCGAGTGGGCACGCATCAAGGGTGAGCTCGCCACCAGCGTCCAGGCCAAGGTTCAGGAGGCCCTGGGTCCCGCTGCTCAGCAGATCCTCAAGTTGCGGGAGGAGGCCCAGGCTCTCCACGCCAGGCTCCAGGCCAAGAGGCGCCGCGGTCAGGATGGTGGCCCCGCCTCGGGCCCTGCGGAGCCTTCGGCTCCTGCTGCTGGGGCCTCTTCTGCTGGCGGCAGTGCTGCTGGTTCGACACGTGGCGGAGGAGAGCGCAGCAGCGCCGAGGCCTTTCGAGCCGCGGCCAGGGCTAAGGCCAGTGCAGCCATTGACGAGAAGAAGCGTGACACGCAAGATGTTTAACACCTGCGATTGTACGGCTGCTGTCACGTATGGTGGCTCGCCGTTCCCGTTCTACGGGGACATCTTCCTCTCGAAGGACGACGAGATCGCCTTCTTTCCCGACCTGGAGGTGTTCGGCCACTACAAGTTCAGCTGCTCTCAGAGCGACGACGACTCTGAGTTCGAGGACAGGGTGCTCCATTGCAAGGATCAGAACCCTGTCAGGCGTGCGGCCATTCATAATCGACTGCTACTTGAGAGGCAGCTGAGGTCACTCACCGGTGCTTGGGTGCCTGACCCCAGCACTGTTGATGAAGCTTCGGATTTGGCCGACTGGAAGCGGGTTTGCATCCCATACGTTGCCAGTTTCCTGGCAGATCCAGCACGGCAGCCTCTTGTTCAGGAGGCCGCTGACTCAGCAGGGCATGGTAACCTTGCGGTTGCCCAGCTGGACATGGCCAGGCAGATCTGCGAGCGAGCGTGGCATGCTCGCCGTCGCCAGAGGCAGGCGTATCGTGACTACCTCAACGGCCTCCGCGACCTCGACCACGATGACTGGCAGGAAGAGTTGGCTCGCAACGCCCTGAGTTACATCGACGCGCGCCGCGCGCTCGATACCAGGGCCCCGCAGCGACGGGAGACCATGTCTGATGCTCCAACGGTGGTTTTGCCATTTTGTGGGAGGCCTTGCCTCTCCGCATCTGCTCAGACGTTCACTCCTGATTTCTCATATTTCTGTGCAGGCGTTGCGCGGGCCCCTGCCTTGTCACCTTTGGCACCGAGGATTCCTACGTGTGCCTCGATTTCGGCGACGGCACCACCCCCGAGGAGCACTCCGATTTCGGCTCATGCCTCGGCTTCGGTTTCCTGCACACCGAATATGGCTACTGGGGGACCGTGTACGGAGGCATCGGAGGAGGGCGGTGCCAATCCTCACTCAGCCCGTTTGTTGTTCGCCAATATCAGTGAGTGGGGCCCCAAGGCTCCGTCATTCATGCGAGGAGCAGGCGCCATGTTTGAGACTGTCGCCTTCGCTGAGACCCATGTCAAGATTAGTGGCGTGGAGGTTGCCCGTGCGGAGCTGTTCAAAGACGGATGGAAGATGGTCGGCACCCCTGCGTCGGCATCAGCGTCCTCATCTTCTGGCTCCAGGGGTGGTGAGTGGGTTGTACACAAAAGGCACATTGCAACCGCCTCCTGGGAGCGGCTCCGCTCTGCCACACCGAGAGCTATTGAGGGGTTTTGTCCCGGCACCCTGCATCTCAAGCGTGGCAATGTTGTGCTGTTGTCGGCCTACCTATTCCCTGGGCCCCAAACAGGTGGCATCAATGCTCCCCGCCTTCGTTCCATCAGCAGGTATGTCTGCTCGCTGGCTGACCCCTGGATCGTTTGTGCAGACTGGAATTTGGAACCAGATGAGCTGACCAAGAGCGGCCTTCTTGAAGTGTGGGGCGGAGGGAGTGTCACCCCCAGCGGATGCAGTGCGACTTGTGGCCTTGGCAGTGGTTCTTTGATCGACTACTTGGTTGTCAAGTGGGGTTTTGCTGACCAGCTTAGAGTCAAGCCTTTCGCGTTAGTCCCATGGAATACACACGTTGCCCTGGATATTGAGATCCTTTCTGGCCACGCGGATTGGCGGCATCAGGTTTTGGATTCTCTTATTGAGCTTCCACAAAGGCCCAATCCCAAGAGGGCCTCATACCCTGACAGCAAGCGCTCGCGGCGCCGTGAGGAAGCTCGAGTCCGCAGACGAGAACGGCTCAGCGCCGAACTGCAGGGTGCCTTCGATGAGGTCAACCCTCCTGATGATGAGGTTCCTGATGATGAAGCTGAGCAGGCGCCCTTTCGAGTGGAGTCGGACGCCTGGGCCGCTGCTGCCTCTGAGGTTCGGCCTTGGACACGCACCTGTTTGGACTCGAAGGCTTGGGCTTTCCCTACAGGCGCGGCAGATGACGTCCAGTCCATTTCCCAGTCTTATCAACGCTGGGCGTCTACCTTGGCACTGGCTATATTACGTGCCGAAGGCATTCCATCCGACCAACAGGCCCAGTACATTGGACGTGGCGAGTTGTATGGCCTTACTCGGTGCAAGCGTAACCCTACTATGGAGTTTTGGTGGACGATGTCGTCGTTGGTCACACGTGGCACCTCCTTGCGCCGACACGACAGGGACCCCTTGCAGCAAGAGACCCTGGCTACTTCCATTTCCAGCCTGATTGACCAGGCCGAGGCCCAGCCGAGGGCCGTTCTATTCGGCCCCAGGGCCACTCACCAGAATATGCAGGAGTGGTTTGATGTGGCCTGTCTCATCTTTGGGCCATCTCTGGACGTCGAAACCCTGGAGCGGTTTGGTGAGGTCACGGGGACCTGGTGCTCGCGATCCTGGGGTAGGACCTTAGTGTCCTCGGGCGCCGCCTACGTCAAGTGGGCCAGGGGCTGCTGGCGCACCAGAACATCGGTGGTCCATCGGCACGTTCGCGACCCCCAGCAGCCTGCAGCGCTGGAAGTCCCTGGCGATGGACCCGTGGAGGCCACTGGTGACCCTGACAAGCCCATGGGGCACTAGCTGCAGGCGTGGCGGACTATCTGGACTGAGCCGCATGCGTCTCGCGAGGGCCTGTGTAAGGGCATGCAGTTGCTGCTCCAGCACGCGCGCGGCCACCCCATCAGCGAGCTTGAGGACGATTGCATCATGAGAGTTGTCTCCAGGATGGCTCCCAACAAGGCTCGATGGGGTGGACGTCCTCAGCCCCATCGACATTCAGAGGCTGCCGACCGAGGGGCAGCAGCAGTTCGGCGACCTGCTGCGTGAAGCTGAGGGGGTCGGCACGTGGCCTGTCCAGCTTTTGCTTGCTGTTGGAGCGACCGTCCTGACACCTTCAGGGGGTGACAGGGTCATCGGTGTTTTGCCGACCTGCATGGGGGTCTGGTCCAGAGCTCGGGCCCCGATCACGGACCAGTGGTCCCAGGACTTCGGTGAGTTTTGGGACACGGCGATCCGAGGGTCCTCGGCTCTCAGAGCGGCCCTGCAGAGGGCCATCTTAGATGAGTCCTCCTTCCAGCTGGGCTTCGCCTCGGCCTCCCTCCTCCTCGACCTCGATTTTTTGACCACGTCAGCATGCTGTTACTTGTGCGTGTTTCGGTCGAGCAGGGATTCCCCTCGATTGTCACCCTTTTAGAAGTGCAGGTGTTCCTTGCTCCCAGGGTCCTTCGGTCCAGGAACATCGCGTCGGGCTTAACTTTTCCCGCCCGCTCCATTGTTGCAGGATCTGCGCACGGTGTCAAATTCGCCAAGGTTTTCCTGGGTCCGATTTTGTCGGCCGCTCATGCGGCCTCGGGGGCCCGTGCCCTTGTCTCCCCTGCGGGCCTCTGGACATTTGTTGATGACACCGTGGCGCGGGCCGAGGGTACTGAGGAGACTGTTATTGCTCAGCTTTCCACGGTTGGCCAGTCTTTCGCCCGATCGTTTGCCTTGCATCAACTGCCCGTTTCGCCCAATAGCAAGGTCATTGCATCCTCTCCTAAGGTTGGTAAGCGCACTGTGGCCAACCTGAGGGGGTTAGGCATCCCAGCCCCCCTGGCGGTCCAAGCTGTTGACCTGGGTTGCGACGCGGGAGGTGGGGCTCGTCGGGTGGTCGTTAAGCTCTCGGACCGTCAGGGGAAGGCCCGTCCACGAGCACAGCGCATTCGACGCTTGCGACGCCACGCGAAGGCGGCCAAAGTGTCCCAGGGGCTCTGGTTACAGGGGGTGCTTCCCCAGGCCGTTTATGGCCATCAGGCCATGGGCCTCTCCCCCTCATCCATCCTTGCCTTGAGGCGTCAGGCGTCCCAATCAGTTGCCAGTAAAAGTTCAGGCCGTTGTCTTACCACGGTGCTATCTCTATTTTATGCCGAGCGCGAGCCATTCATCGCTTTGAGGGCTCAGGTTTTATTCACGTGGTTTGACATGTGGAATCGGTTCCCTGCGTTGCATGCCCGTACCACCCGCCCGTGGCATCACATTCGGGGCCGCCTAGACCTTTTGGCCTCGAAACGCTGGCGTCGGGTGAGGGGTCCGATCGGGGCCGCCGTCGCCACGTTACTTGATGTCGGCTGGAAGATTGTGTCCCCCGTTGAATGGCACAGACCTGTGGGTGACCAATATGGAGTTTGGCACTTTCCTGATCGAGACGATATTGAACGTCTTGAGGGCGACTTTGGTGTCGCTGAATTGGTCGACGATTCCAGGGGAGATTTGAATGCTGTCTTGTGGGCCCAGGCATCGCCCCATCCTCACGGCGACGACCTGGCCGATGGGGCTGACCTCCAACCCCTGCGCCAGGGGCTGAGGCGTCTCGAGCGTAGGGATCAGTATGAGCATGTAGGCCTTCTCACGACTGTCGTGTCAGGGGGCCAGTGGGCCCACGTCCACCAACTTGAGGCGGGGTATGCTGTCGCCACTACCTGTCCCCGATGCGGGTTGGCACCCGAAGCGTTTTTTTTTTTTTTTTTTTTTTTTTTTTTTTTTTTTTTTTTTTTTTTTTTTTTTTTTTTTTTTTTTTTTTTTTTTTTTCCACAGAGTGTGGGATTGTCTTAAGAATTGCAATCATGAGGCCTTTGAGCTCTCTGACGGCCTCTGCCACCAGGCCAGAGTGGGCCACGAGGCAACCCCGCCTTGTGGCTCCGTGGCCTGCCTCCTAAGTCTTTAACCTGCCCTGTGTTCAAGGACGGCGGGGCGGATGTGGCTTGGGAGGTGGGGTCGTCGCCGTCGTTAGTCGAAGGATCCTCTGTCGCTGCGGCCAGGTCCCCTTCGAGGCTCCTGCGGGTCTTTGGAGATGGCTCTGGGGGTGCCTTCAGCTCCGACCCTCGCCGCCGACGTGTCGGCGCGGCCGCTGTGTTGGTGGCCTGGGATGGCACCAAGTGGTGCCGACTCAAGGGTTGGGCTTCCACCATCTCAGGCCGCCGTCAGACGGTTCCCCAGGGCGGAGCTGTTGGCCTTTGAGCTGGCGCTCCGCAACGTCCCAGGGGATTTTGAGTATGTCACTGACAACCAGCCCCTGTTAGAGGGGTGGCGGCGGCGCCGTTTCCTTCACAGCAGTGGTGTGAATTCGGATCTTTGGTTTCGTATCCGCTTGGCCCTTGAGGGGCGAGTGGACCCCCTCCCACCTGGATCCCACTGACCCCTCCTTGTCGGAGGACCAGGTTCTTCTCGCGGCGGGTAATGAGTCTGCTGACGAGTTGGCTGGCCAGGCTGCACAGGGGTCTTGGGACCTTGCTACTCGTGGTCAGCGCATCCCTGACACTGGCAGATGGGGCGCCACCTGTTTTCTTATCCGCCAACGGGCCACCCAAGCGTTGGCGGAGTCCATTCGTGTGGCCCCTTGGACCGCGGACAGGCCCAAACTGGGCCGTTCCACTGTCACCAAACTTCAGGCTGCCCTTAGAGGTAGCTCGCACTGTTTAATTAAAATTGGCGCGAAGTGGATTTGCTCACTTTGCTCGACTATCGTTCCCTCGGCGAATGTTTTCGAGGCTTGCGGCCAGCTCTGCCCCGCTGTGGACGATGGCGAGACGATGCAGGAGTTTGGCCACGGGATTTCTCGGGTGAGGCGGGCGGTGACGGTGGGGGGGGAGTCTCTGCATCCCAGTCACTGTTTGCATTTTTGGCCCGAGCATTCGCTGTATTTTGTTCTCGGTGTGGCCGTTCGGCTGCAGTCGACCCGAGGCAACTCCGCAGCGAGTGTTCCCTGTGCTCTAAGAAAGGGCACGAAAATCTCCTCCGAATTCGCCGAGGGCTTTTCCCTGGCCACAAGGGTCCCTCGGCCCCTGTCTTGGAGGCCGCTGTCAGTCGGGTCCGACGCGTCGATGGGGCGTCGGTTAATCCCTGGCTCTCGCTAGTCCCGCCTGCCACTGAGACTGTGGCGATCATGACACTCATGATACTCTTCTTCTTCTTCTTCTTCCTCTCCTCCTCTTTCTCCTCCGCTTATGTTTTTCGAATCACAGTATAGCCTGCCTACCCCTAGGGCTCAGCATCGGGCCCTTGGGACTGTCAGACAGCGGATCTGGGACGAAAGGCTGCCCCAAGGGAAGCGGCCGAGAGCTCTTTGGCCGCGGACTGAACAAATCGAATATCCGCCGCCGTCGTTGTGATTGTCGTCGGGGTCGTCGTGGTCGTCGCCACCGCCGCCGCCGCCGCCGTCGTCGTGGTCGTCGTGATCGTAGCCGTGGTCGTGGTCACCGCCGTCGTCGGCGTGGCAATGTCGTCGCCGTCGCCGTCGCCGTCGCCGTCGTCGCCGTGGTCAGCGACGTCGCCATCGGCGTTGCCGGAAGTTTTCAGACACTCGGAGGTTTCTGCTTTTCTGGCCGCCTGGAGGGAGGGCCTTATCCACCTCGAAATTTTGCTCAGACGGCGCTCCAGGGGTTGACCGTTGTCGTGGATCGCCGATCGTGCTCTGTGGTGTCTTTGGTGTGCTGTGTACTTCTGGTGTTGTACATGTCGTGGTCGGCGTCAAGGGGAGAAGACGTGAGGAGAGCGAGGACGAGGATCAGCACGAGGAGTGGGGCAGTCCAGGGGGCGGGGGGGAGGGGAATTGAGGCAGATCCAGAAGTAGCGAGGATAAGAGTTCGATCCTGCCTCCCCCTAAGCCGGGGGCATTCGCGCGCGCGTGGTGGAGCTCCTCCCCGCTCTTCCTTTCTCCCTGCCGTTCGTCGTCCTCCCGCCTATGCCCTTCCTTCAATATCCTCCTTTCCAGCCCCCTTCCCTCCTTCCCTCCTCTCTCTCTCCTCTCTCTCTCTCTCTCTCTCCTCTCTCTCTCCTCTCTCTCTCCTCCTCCTCCTCCTCCTTCCTCCTACTCTCCTCTCTCACTCCTCTCTCCTCCCTCTCCTCTCCCTACTCCTCTCCTCCCTCCTTCCTCGCTTCTCCTCCTCCTCCTCCTCCTCATCCTCCTCCCTCCTCCTCCTCCTCCTCCTCCTGCTCCTCCTCTCCTGCCCCTCCCCTCCCTTCTCCCTCCGTAGCGGACAGGCGAGACCGGGCGGACCAAGCAGGGTGACGCGGCAGAGCGCTCACTCTCCTGACCACCGCTCCCCTCCTCGACCAGGCCTTCTCTCCTTTGGGGCGGTCCAGACCTCCTGTGCCCCACAGCAGGGACAATTGCGGTATCCCTCGCACGGGGCCACACCGAGGCCAAGCTGGATCAGTTCAAACGCCCCCCCCAGTCGGTCCGCGCCTGCTCCGCACATCCCCACAAGAGCGTCTCAGGAATGGGTTTCTGGTCCGGGCGCCGAGCTGGAACTGCCATGGCTGGCAACACATGGCTCATGAGCTGTTGACTGTTCCTTGGTGGCCAGGCTGGGGTCAGGGTCACTCAAGGCCAAGTGGCTCTTCGGGAGTTATGCTGCTGATCCCAGGCTGTGCTGCCTCGGGCGTTCGATGCGTTGGAGGGTCTCTATCGCCGTTCCGTGGCCCTCCTCCCCCTCGTCCCTCGTCCGCCCGGCGCCCATGTCCTCGGATACCTATTGCAGGTTGAGCGCGCGCCAGGACTGTCGGGACCCCGCGTGACGGGGCGCGCCCCCCCCCCCCCCTGGGGCGAGCAATAGGATGTTGGGCCCGCAGGTCAGCCAGCGCTCGCCTCCCCAAGGCGCCAAGCATCCACCCCTCGCGCTGTGCTCGCCAGCGGACTGGCCCGTAAGGGCTGGCAGGGCGCGGCCAGACTCGTCGGAAGTGCCGCGTGCGCCCGCAGATGTCAGCAAACTTGTCCCCCCCACCCGCCGCCGTCGCTGCCGTCGCCGCCATCGCCGCCGTCGTCGTCGTCGTCGTCGTCGTCGTCGCCGTCGTCGTCGTCGTCGCTGCTGTCGCCGTCGTCGCCGTCGTCGTCGTCGTCGTCGTCGCTGCTGTCGCCGTCGCCGTAGGCGTCGCCGCTGCCGCCGCCGCCGCTCGCGGCTCTACTGCCGTCGCAGCGCTGCGTCGGCGGCTGCGGTTTCGGCGGCGGCGGCAGCGGCCCCGGAGCGGGGGGCGAGGACGACGCGGAGGCCGCGGCGGCCGCCTCGGCCGCTCCCCCCGTGGAGTGGTACCCCTGCGGGTCCATGGAGCTGGACGCCGTGGCCGCGCAGGAGCCGCGCCCGCCGGCCGCCGCCGGCCGCCGCCGCCGCCGCCGCCGCCGCCGCCGCTGCCGCTGTCGTCGTCGTCGTCGTCGTCGTCGTCGTCGTCGTCGTCGTCGTCGTCGTCGTCGTGATCATCGTCTGTCGGCTCGGCGTTGGCGGTTTCGGCGTTGGCGGCTCTCGTCGTCTCCGCCGTCGTGGGCTTCCGAGGACGAGAGCCGACGTCGACGGGCCGACGACGAGAGCCGCCGACGACGGCGCCGAACGCAGGCAGCAGTGGCGTCGATGTCTACGGCGACGCGGGGGCCCAGCGCCCGCCGGTGCGCAGGAGGTGATGATGCGCGCGGAGGCGGAGCGGGCCTCGACGTGCGGCAGCGGCGCCTCCACCCCTGGGCTGCGGAGCCGCGAGGGGGGGCCCTCCGTGCGGCGAGGCCGTCGGCGGAGGATGTTTTGGCCTCCTTCTGGGCCTTCCGCGGCGCCCTCGTCGCCACAGCCGGGTCCGCCTTGGAGTTCTGGCCTGAGCGCACCACTGGACGTGTCCAGGGCTCGTTCTTGAAGATTGGTGCCCAGGCTTCCGGCGAAATCGCGGCGGCAGTTGGTTTGTTCCCTACCTAGGCTCTGCCTAGAAGGGTTCTTACTGTGTATGCTTACGTAAAGGGGCCGGGCAGTGGTTCTCGCCCCGGGCGGTTCCCCCAGCATCCGCCCCGCGGTTCCCCCAGTTGCGTCCCCTTAGCTTAGCGTTGCTTATCTCATCTTAGCTTAACCTAGCTTAACCTAGCTTCGCTTAGCCTAGCCTAGCTTAGCTTAGCTTAGCCTAACCTAGCTTAGCTTAGCCTAGCCTAGATTAGCTTAGCTTAGCTCAGCTTAGTTTAGCTTAGCTTAGCTTAGCGCAGCGCAGCATCAGCATAACATAGCATAGCATATCATACCTTATCATAGTACAGCATATCATAGCATAGCATAGCGAAGCATATCATAGCGCGGCACATCATATCATAGCATAACATAGCGTAGCATAGCGCAGCATGGCATATCATAGCTTAATTTAGCATCGCACAGCGCATCATAGCATAGCATATCATAGCATAGCATAGCATAGCATAGCGCATCATAGCATAGCATATAGCATTTCGCAGCATATCATAGCATAGCATAGTGCAGCATATCATAGCATATAATATCATATCATAATATATCATAACATAGCATAGCACATCGCATCATATCATATCATATCATAGCCTAGCATAGTATAGCATAGCGCAGCATATCATAACATAGCGAAGCATCTCACATCATATCATTTCATATCATAGCTACATATATGTTGATGTAGATGTAGATGCAGTTGTAGATGGTAGCTGTCGGTGTAGATGTAGATGTTGCTTTCCTAGATGCTCCAACTCCTAGGTAGTGTCGCACTGGGATAATTGCTTTGGAGGTTTTGGGCTCGTGGAGGCCCGTTTCTCGCCACGTTGCCATCGAAAAGCGGCCCGAATCGAAAAAGCGGTCCCTGGAGCTCCAGGGGTCCCAGTTCGTTGGCTTGGTCGCATGCGTGCTGACAGGGCGTAGATTGCTTGCAAATGGCAGCCAGAAAACCGCGTCTGAAGGCCTGAGGGGCAGTGTAAACGCTGGCTGGAAAGCATCGTGATGCACCAGGGCTGGGGGCGCTGAGGCGCCACCGCGCCACCTGTCTTGGAACGGACTGCGGGGCGATGGAGCGCGTCGCCCGTTTGTCCGTGTCGAGCTGAGGGACGGCGGCGGCGGCGGCCGCAATCTCAGCGTCGCCCCCGTCCCCCCTTGGGGAGAGGGGGAGGCTGGGCGCCGCTGCCCGCCGCCCGCTGGAGCGGCGACGGCGGCCGCGGCGGCGCCGACTGCGGCGGCGGCGCTGACGGCCTCGGCGACGTCACCGCCGACGCCGGCGGCAGCGGCGGCGGTGGTGGCGGCGGCGACGGCGGCGGCGGCGGCGGGCGGCGGCGGGCGGCGGCGGCCCGCACGCCAGGAGCCGCGGCGCCAGCCGCGCTTCCACGCCAGGGCGCGGCGGCAGCCGCGCCGCCACGCCGGCGCTGCCCGGCGCTCAGATCCGGTAGAGGGAAGCACTTACTGAGCACTCCCCCTCCCCCCCAAACTCAATGTTGGCACGCGTGGGGGAGACTGCGGTCGAAGTGCACGTCATCAGACCCACCGCCAACTTTGAACATTGGGGGGAGAGGGAGGCGTTGACAGATGAATGTGGCACGAGTGTTCGCTACATTGGGGGGAGAGGGAGGCGTTGACAGATGAATGCGGCATGAGTGTTCGCTAATTTGTTCCGAGGCCTGTCTGGGGGCGCCCGGGGGTCATTGAGATCTGACGATGCGGCAAACATGCACCATCGCAGCAAAACGGGGTCAGGAACATGTCCGCTATACGGTATACCCAGGCCCCTCGCGCTGTGAAAAGAGTCGCGACTGGAGTTTGAAGTTTTGTCGCTAGTTTCGGCCTCCTGGGGTCCTTCCCGGGCCTCGGGACCGTCAAAAAACGACTCAGGATAAAAAACCGGTCCCAGGGAAGGGGTCCAGACCTCGGGAGTCGACGTTGTGAAAAATTCACGACGTCTAGGGTCTGGGTACGATGTTGTCTTTCCTCCACTTAGTGGCAGAGGGCGGCCCGCACGCAGAGAGTGCATAGCACCCGTCGCCCGGAGAACCGGGCGGAAAATCATACGTTGCATTGCCCTGTCGAGTTCTGCGAAGCCCCATGGGATAGGGACCAGATACCTTAGTGTGTATATTCGGAAGGAGCCGCTCTCCTGTGCAGACTGCAGTGCAGGGCCGGAGAAAGCATCGGCGCACAGAGTGAGGGCGGTTCCCTGCGTCGCGCAGCTCCCGAAGCACTCCACGGGAGCCCTGTGGACCCCAACCGTCTGCAGCACGTGTCGGGCCAGAGATCGGTCTCCTGGACGGCCTGTGGGCCCGACGCTGGGCGAGAGAGCTCGAGTGGTGGAGGCGTTGCAGCGCCGGGATCTCCGCGGGCAGCGCCGGCAGTCGAAGTAGAAAACGCGGTCTAAGCATAAATAGGGAAACAAAAAGTGGCATAAACATAAAAACTTGGAGGTCCAGACGGATTTCTCGGATCGGCGCTGGACCCCCCTCCCTGACGCGCGGAGCGCGCCAGGGGCGGCGCCGGAGGCGCCGCCGGGGGGCCCCAGCGCCGATCCGAGAAATCCGCGCGGACCTCCGAGTTTTGATGTTTATGTCACTGCTTGTTCCCCTGATCGTTGAGCATTAAAATCGTTTGGCGCTCCGCGCGGAGCGCCAAACGTTTAATGCTCATGCCGTTTTTTCTTCTTCTCTTGCGGCCCTGGGTCCCTCACAATTCGACTCGGGGTCAGAGTTCAGAGTGTTTGCCAGCATGCGGCGGCGAGCCCGGAGGGAAAATGAGAAGGAGAGGGGTCTTCTCAGAAGGCTCGGAAGGCCCCCGGTCTTCTGAGCAGTTTTTTCAAGCCTTCCCCGATGACGCAGAATACCTCTCAGAAGGCCGGGGCGCGTCTGAGAAGCCCAGCCGCCTGCCGAGAAGGCCTTCCCCTTCTCTCTTCCCTCCCATGGGCTCGACGCCGAGCATAGATGGTGGCTTCTGGTGTGATCAAACCACATCACAGCAGAGGATGTACGAAACGAGCATGGCTGCGACGGGTACTTTTACATGAAATAATCCGACCTGGGGGATGAAACGCCGGTCCCGGTGAAGGGGTCGACCGAGCTCGGGGGGCCAGCGACTTGATCGGAACAGCCCGAGTTGGGGTGCCGAGGTGCGATGTGGCCATGAGCCTCGAGAGCTTTTTGGAGGAGGAGGTCCCGGCGTTCCCATTCTCTAAGGGCGCCACTCCACAGGGCGCCAACTGCCAGTGAGCCGAGGTCCGGTAGTCTTGCCGTAGTTTGAGGCTTCTGCTCGTACCTGAGCGCTGCTTCCAGGTGTGCTTCGCCCGTCTGAACAGGACGGGCCTGGGGCACGAGGCAAGGCTGCTGTCTGACCTGCTGGGAATGACGGGACTTGTGTTCTCCGTGGGGGTAGGGCCAACATGTCGAAGGAGGAGGAGGCGGCGGCGGCGGAGGAGGAACCAGACGATGTACAGGCGGAGGAGGTTGGAGGGGGATGTTGGTGAGGAGCAGGAGCAGGAGCAGGAGCAGGGGGATGACGAAGAGGTGCACGCAGGTCGGGGAGGAGGAGGAGGAGGAGGAGGAGGATGAGGAGGAGGAGGAGGAGGAGGAAGGAGGCGGCGGCGGCGGTGGCGGCGGATCGATATCGGGTCGAAGGTTGAAGCTACGCAGCAACTAACACAGCGCGAGGGGAACACTCGGCGACGAGCGACCCATCGTGCGCTGTACCCAGCGCTTTATCAAAGTGCCCACTCCCCAGGTGGGAGCCCCGAATTATCCTCGCTCGACCACGGGCCGAAAAACAAACCAGGACAAGCCCTAAAGGGCTCAAATCAGAAGCGCGAAAACACGTCCCAGGACCGCTTCGGGTCCAAGAGCCTCACAGACTGGCTCAGAAATTTGTGGCGTAAGATGGCAGCTCTTTGAAGGAGGGGAGCAGGCGAGGCGAGGGGAGGCTCGAACGAGGGGGGATCGGAGGAAGGAGGTCCTGGCTGGCAGCGGCGACGGAGCGGCACTCCTGGGCGTCACCAGCGGTTCCCCTCCTGTTCGACGAAATCGTTCCCAAACGCTCCGCCGACCTTCCTCGAGTTTGCGAAATCCTTCCCAAGGGCTCCGCCGTCCTTCCACGATAATGTGAGATCCTTCCAGAGGGCCCAATCTCGAACTAGAACAGGTACTTGAGATCAGCTGCAATGACCTCTGCACTGCCATAAAGGTGTGGTGCTCTGCCTTCCCAAAGGTGTCGCATCCTCCATTGTTGGTCCATCGCGCATGTCTCTCCGTCCAACAGCGCCCTCCTCGCCGCATAGGCAACGAGGCGGGGCAGGTCGGCCCACACGGCAAGGAAGTCGGGGTGCCCTCCGGGACGTCGTAGACGTCCCTGCAGGGGCTGCGGGGATGACTGCAGGGAGCCCCCGTTACGGCCCCTCCCCAAAGGAGAACATCGTCCTCCCCGACCCCCCTCTGGCCGCGCAGCAGCACACGGGTGCCAACACGCCCTCTTCATCCTGCCCCTGCGTCTGCCGGCAACTGTGGGTGCGACACAGGTCGAGCTCGTCGACAGGCTCACGGTGCGACCTGGGCGCCATGCCCTCTTTGACTTCGCCCCCGGGCTGCTCCACGCACGCGAGAAAGCCGTTCGTCATGTTGGGGTCCCCGAACGCGAAGACCATCTTCGCGGAGCCTTCCTCGAAGGCGCTCGAGACCCTGAACCCCTTGATCAGCAGCGCCAGCTCGCTCATGTCGCTGCAGCTGTCGAGGCGTTGTTGGATCTCGGCCCAGGCTCTCGCGTTCTTCACTCCGACCGAGTCTCCAGCTTCTGTCACCCTCCGCGCGACCACCAGGAATATCTGCACGCACGCTGGGCCCATCTGCTTCTCTGGCAAGGGGCTGTTGCTGTCCGCCATGTGCGCCTCCCTCATCTTGGCAGCCTCGGTAGCATAGGCCCTGTCGGCCTGGAGCGCGGCCTTCACGAGCGCACTGCTCTCGTCCATCAGCACCGTCACGAACGCCGCAGCCACCAGCATTCAAATACTGTGCGAGTTGCCCAGCACCGCTCTCACCAGGATCGGCATGCGGCGTGCTACCATCTGCGAGTCCATCGCCGGGAGGCGCTCCAGAGCGTCCGCTGGAAGCCCGTACGAGCGACCGACTGCCGTCTGAAGGGCCGCCTGGCCGCCTCTGCCGCCTCTTGGGCTGCTGCTCGGCCCGCGGCGCGGGCTGCTGACTGCTCCTGCGCGCGGGTGGCCCCTGGCGACCGCCACGCTGGCGGGAAGCGTAGGCCGAGCCAGAGCGGCCCTGTCTGGCACTGCGGCCTCCTGGTCCGTTCGAGCGGGAGCGCTCCGCTGCCGCCAGTGCCTCCTGCCTAAGACGATACATCGTGCTGAATGGGGATCCTGGGAGAGTGTCCTCGTAGGTGCTTGTAAATAGCAGCTCGATCCGCAAACGGCTCCGACGTACCACAGCAGAATCCGAGGCAGGTGCCCCCCCTCACGGACATCACACGCAGGGAGCTCATGGGGCACACCAGGTCGAGAGTGTCCAGGACGGGGTGGTGGAGGGGCGTCGTGAAGGCTGGACATCGGCCCCGTATAACCGCCTGGACTGCATGTTCCTGGGCAATGGGTTTCGTCCGAAACGTTTGGGGACATAATATACACTCGTTGGTGACCGTGAGAGCGTGGAGGATGGAGCGGCAGGAGTGGCCCCCGTACTTGGAGCAGCGCTGATGTGCTAGCATGGCCTTGCGGGTCAAGAAGGTTCTCCCGCAGACGATCCCCCCAGCATGCGTGAGCTCGCATATTCAAGGTATCGCAGCAGGGAGCTCCACTGGTAGATCATCTCCAGCATCTTCTGGAGGAGGTCCGCAGAGGCTTTGGGGTGGTGGTATGCAGACCGACTTGGCCTCCGCTCTCAGGATCCCAGGGTCGAGCGCCAGACATTGTCCCCGAATATCGTCATCCGTGAACAAGGCCCGAACGCACAGCCGAAACTCTGGGGCCTCCGCTGAGCCTGAGAACAGCCAAGACTCCAAGATCTCCTCCTCGGACCGCTGGACCAGGGCGAGGACGTCCTTCGCGAAACGCTGGGCGGAGGGGTTGGCATCAGCCTTGAGATGTCCGCGTGCATTCAACGTCGGTGTCGCCTCCACTTGCAACTGACCGAACACTGCTCCCATCTCCTGCGGATGAGTCTCTGGGATCCGAATCCAGCGCCGGTGCACTCGCAACCTCCGAATTAGCAACTCAACAGCGGACGGAGCAAGACCCACACGACGGAGAACGACCTCATCCGAGAGAGCCCGATACCGCCGAACTGGTTGACCTGTTTCGTTTCGAACTGGAACGCCTCCCTCATCGACAACCTCTATCTTCTGGCACGCGGTCCCTCCCAGGATCATCCGAGCGAGGCCCAAGGAGACCTGGTCCAGTCTGCGCTCCTGGGCCTCCGGGTTGGTCATGGTGCTCAATCCCGACAAGATCGCCCCCTGGACCACCGCCCCGAGCGCGATCCTCGTCGATCTCCAGGCCTCGTTCTCGCTCCAGAAGCGCCGCATGGAGCTGTGGGCCCATCGGGCCGCCAGACTGCGCCGCTGAAGTCCCCTGGACACGTCCGTTGATTGTCGTCTGGATCCCAAGAGCCACGTTCTCAAACTGAACGCGACCAGGAAGCGGCGTCGATCCTCCAAAAACCTCGGCATTGTGCACTTTCGATCATGGACCGAAGAAGGACGGAGAGACACTGCTTTTCTCTGGATTGTGCGAGTAGCCGTCCGCGCCCAGAGCGTGCTGCAGGTGCTCGTAGGCGCACTGTAACGTGAACTGCGCGTTCCTGGCAGTCGTCACGGTATGAGTCCTGCTGGTGTCATTTGCGTAGACGCGGCAAGGCAAGTCCACGGGAGTCTGTAAGATGGGCACCCAGGCTGTGCAGAAGTCCTCGCTGGGCCACAAGATGAAATCTGACATTGACGGAGGCGTCGGAGGCACCAAAGGATTGAGAACTCCAACTGTCATAGTCCTGCGCGCGGGGTGGTGCCTCTATCTTCCAAGTCTGCTGTCGAAGATCGTCGAGCCACTGCTGCACGGGCCTCCTGAACGTGTTGGCGAAGAGGACCGCCGCGGCGGTGTCGCCCATGCAGGCGCCGCATCGGTTGTGCATGGTCTGCTCCCCGTCGGCCGCGGAGATGGAGAACGGGCTGTGCTTGTGACGCTGGTGGAAGTAGCACTGATCCGCATCCTTGATCGACTCTGTCACGGTCTCGCGAGCGAGCTGAAGGTGGAGCAGCCGAACGCATTGGCCATGTTCTCCTTCGCCAAAGCAGCGCCTCCTTGCAAATCATTGTGTGCTCGCGGCTGCGATCGTGCAAGTAGCCGCGCTCGCGGGGGTCTCTGTCTCGGGTGGTCCACGTCGTAGTTGCGCCTTAAACCACAGCACCCCCACACGGCACAGTCCATGAATGTAACGTCGGGCTGCGAAGCCCTCCTTGATATTCTGTTTGTCCAAGCCCGTCGCCCGAGAATGACGCCACACCATGGGAGTCTGCTGAACCCTTCGAATCTGATGGAACGCCTTCCTCAATGCTTTAAGGCTGAACTCGTTGCTGGCGGGCTCGTGAGCCTCTGCTCCCGACCCACGGCGATCGCCTGCCAGTCGCACTCGAGGGGGCAACCTGAGGCCAGGGAGCAGGGACGTCGTGGACGTCCCTCTCGTCGTCGTCGTCGTTGTGATGGCGCCTCGGCGTGCGGCACGAGCCATCGAAGCGGCGATTCGGGTCCGGGATCGTCATGCGGACCTTTGTCGGCACCGAGTGCAGGGTGCCGCCTGGCGCCTGGGCGCCTTCGCCGCAGGCTCCGTCGCCTCCTCCGAGGTCGTCGCGCCCCTTAGCTCGGCGTGCAGGCAGTTGTCGCTGCCAAGCGACGGCGGCGGCGGTTCGCCCTCCAGCAGCTGCTGCTGGTACGTGGCGTAGTCCACGGGCACCGCCTCGAAGCCGCCAGCATGGCCAGGTCCACCGAAGTGGGGGGCGCACCTCCTCCACGCGCGGGGCAGAGGTGGATGCCACGTGGAAGCGCCGTTTTTCTGGCCCGCCGCACTTCCCTGCTAGCTGAGGGGCCAGCCTCCAGACCTCGGCGTGGCGTTGACCCTTCCAGGCCTCGGCCATCTCGTCCAGCAACTGGGTGATGGAGGTCATCTCATACTGCCGCCGAAGACGTCTGAGGTGTGTGGTGCACCAGGTGAGCAGCATGTGGTAGACCACGCCGTCCCCTCCTCGTTCCCGCTCGTCGCGTCGGTCGCGCGCAAACAAGCTGGCTACGAGCCTGTGCATATGCTCTAAGGCGAGGGTCGTGCTGTAGGCCTCTGGTGAAGTGCCGCTCCGCCACCGCAAACACCGTCGTGATCCACTTCTCCCAGGCCCCTTCGGGAGCCGCCTCTCGCAGGAGGAGGTCGTGGACTTCTGGCATGGCTCTGAACTGCGTCTCCAAGTCCTCCATGAAGGCGGCCACGCCCACCCCCGTGCGCAACGCCTGCGCGAGCCTGTCGAAATCCCAGTTCGGCGCGACCGCTCGGGGGCTGCTGAGGTCGAAGGTGTAGTCTATCTTGAGTAACAATGGCAGGTAGTCCTGCAGGCCGCTGCTCCTGTTGAGCTTCAGGGGCAGGTTGGAGCGCGGCATGGTGCGGCAGTGCGCCGTGGACTCCAGCGTCTCGGCGAACGTGGCGATATAGTCGATGTGTCTCGAGCCCGCGTGGTTGTAGAACGTATCCCCGTGTCGGAACCATGTAGAGGTGACCGTACTGGAATGTTTGTCGAAGATCTCCAGAAGCTGATCCGCGGCGTAGTGCTGTTCTCACGTAGCGTGTGCGCCTAGTGCTGGTGATTGCACCTGCTCCTGAGCGCCGCCTCGACGTCAACGCCAGCCGAAGGAGTCGTTGAGATCGAACCCTGCGATCGTGGTCGACCTCTTGTGGCACCACGTGGCCACCTGCTCGAACCACTGGTACACAGCGTCCACCGTGGCCTGGTAGTGGGCTTTCCCTGTCTGGTCGGGCCCTACCGTCTCCCGAGCTTCACGGCGACCACTGGGCCGAGGGGGAAGGTGCATGACAGGCAGCAGCAGGTCAAAGCGCCCCGACCTCAAGCGGAACAGGGCAACGCGCCCTTGCAGCTGAATGGGCGCCGCAGGGACGTTATAGACGTCCCTCTCCTTGAAGGTCCTCTTGCGCAGCAGTAGCACGATCTCGCAAGTCTTGTTCACGAAGCGACTCTGGCGGAAGCCGCAGCGAATCGCGACATGATACCGAAGATGTGTGTACGGGGGGACCCTATCGGCAGCTGCGCGCTCCCTTGAGGATGAAATCGCAATGGTGGCTGTCTGAGCCAACTCTTCCGATATGTCCTGGAATCTCTCGACCGACGTTGCGTACTGCACACTCCGGTGGATATAGCTGAACATCCCTCGAATAAGCGCAGCGAGAAGCACACAGAGCATGCGACCATGCAATAGTTGCAGAACAAGTGCTGTGGGGAGTGGGACGCATACCGTAGCGGAAGCGTGCCACGGCCGCTGGTACGCCCGCCCTTCTCGCAGGAACTCCTGGGCACGGGGGGGGCACTGGGGGCCTAGGAGGAGGAGGGGGAGGAGGGGGAGGAGGAGGAGGAGGAGGAGGAGGAGGAGGAGGAGGAGGAGGAGGAGGAGGAGGAGAAGGAGGAGGAGGAGGAGGAGGAGGAAGAGGACCAGTGTAAACCCAAGAGGCATCAACGATGTTGGAATCAACCTTCCCTCCAAGTTCCCTCTTCATAGGCCCCTTCAATTCTTCATTTCCATTGAGGGAACTGCTTCGTTGGAATACAACCGCTTGAAGACCCTGTAGCATCCTAAAACGACGGGATCCCAACGCCACGGATCAACTTGACTGTTGCGTGTTGACGACCCAGCATCGTGCCAGAACGCCATTCCTGGGACTCCAACACAGCGAATCAACCCGCGTAATGCTGACTCCTTTCAAAACACCATTTCTGGTGCGTTGGGGATGGGAATCCGTGAATCCCTGTCAATTTTTCTGCGAGATCCACATTTTGAAGAGGAGCCGCCCTCAATCGATGGAGCTCTTGCACAGTTTTACATCGAATGTGCGCCGCGCTAAGGCGAGAACATTTTGAAAAGGAGCCGCCCTCAATCCGTGAAGCTCTTGCAAATGTTTAAAACGAAAGTGCGCCGCGCTACGGCGAGAGACAGATTTTGAAAAGGAACCGTCCTCAATCCGTGAAGCTCTTGCAATGTTTAAAATGAATGTGCGCCGCGCGAAGGCGAGAACCACATTTTGAAAACCACCCGCCCTCCATGTGTGAACTTGTTGCCAATGTTTAAGCTTCGGAGTCTTAAGTGGTGAGGGAATCTCAGGCGAAACGCCTGGCCCGCCCTAGAAATTAGCCTCGGGGTGCGACAGGCAGAAGTTTTTTATATAAGGAAAAGGAATGGAGGATGAGGAGGAGGAGGAGGAGGAGGAGAAAGAGGAGGAGCAGGAGGAGGAGGAGGAGGAGGAGGAGGAGGAGGAGGAGGAGGACGATTCAGCAGGCAGGAAGGAGGACGGTACGCTACCGCGATGAGCGTGCGCCCCAGGAAGGCGGGGAGGCCACACGGGCTCCTGACCGGGGCTGGGCAAGCGGCAGGTGGTGGCGCAGGCGTCTCCTCGAAATGCCCTCCTTGGCACACCAGGTCTCTCGAGAAGCTCCAGGCTTGTGCCGAGGGGGGCAGGGCGGGGGCCAGCACACGGCCCCCCTTCCATGGGCACCTCTGAGATCCGACGTTGCAAAAACATACGGCAACATCACAGAGAATCGCCACCTGAGCCTGGGAACCCGTCTTTCTTTCTGCAGCATTTTTCAAGCCCGAGCGATCTGTGAGGGCCCTGGGGCCCGAACCTGGACGGACACGCTGGTCGTGAACAAATTGCAGCGCCAGGACCTCAGGGGCACCGCAGCGCCGCCGCGGCGCGGCCTCGAGAGCACGGCGTCTTTTCCGCCCCGACGACCGCCGCCGCAGCGCCGGCGCAGCGGTACGCCTGCGGTGCAGTCCCAGGGGCCAGGGGGGGCCTCCGATCTGCAGGGCCAATACGCCGGCAGATGCTCCCCTGGACAATATCGGGGGCGAGCGGCGGCACGAGCCTGAAGTCAGGCATGTCCCTCTACAGGAGCAAGATTCAAAAGTAGTCAAGAAACAGTCAGGGGACGATTTTTCGACTATTTTGGATTTTTCACTTCACGCCTGCCTGTAGGAGGACGTGCCCGACCCAACACGAGCCGCCGACTCACGAGCCACGGACCAAGGGCCACGAATCACGAGCTGCGGACAAGCGAGCCACGGACCGCGAGCCACGGATCGCGGACGGGGCTAGGACCAGGATAGAAATCGTTCCATAGCGTTGCGGAACGCTGTCGGAGCGCTCTGGAACGGCCGCGGCGCCCGCCGCCGGATCCCAGAGAGGTTCCGGATCAGTCCCAGTCCGATTTTGCCCCTGTCTTAGCCTCGTCTTAGGCCACGAATCTACTGGCCTTCGGCCCCTCCCGCCACCGTGCCTTGGTTGTAGGTCAGAGGCCTAGCCGTCTTGGCCCGTCTTTGGGCCCTTCTGGGCCCGAAGAAGTCACGCGGGAAGACGCCCCGGGCGCGCCGGAGAGATTTGAGAGCTTTGGGGTCCGGGCACCTCAGAAGATCCCCAGGATTGAGGACGGAGGCTCAGGGGATCGAGCAAGGGACCTGAGGACACTCCAGCTGTGTAGTGCCTCGCAGGCACTGTGGCTGACTGCGCCACCCAGACATAGCGAGGGACGCGCGCGCGCCGAGACATCGGACAGCACCTGCTCCGTGGCGGGCGCTTTCTGGCCTGACACCGCTCGGGAAGCGGCAGCCTGCAGGCTGCTTCTGCTAACAGGTGCTCGGGTCGCACGCGCGCCCCCGAGGAGGACACGGCGTGCCACAGCAGGTCCTCGGGCCTCCCGTCCCGGCCTTTGCGAGCCCAGGCCCGCGAGCCGCGCGCCACGGGCCGCCGAGCGCCGGGCCCGCGGGCCCGCGGGGCCGCCCTGGGGCGCCCAGGGGCTCGCGGCGAGGGGCCCCGGGCTCGAGAGCCGGCCGGGGCGTGGGCGGGGCCGGCGGCGCGGCATGTACACCTCTGGAGGAGCGAGGTGGGCACAGGAACAAAAATGGGGTACGGTGCTCAGCAGCAGTTCCTGCTCATGTTGAGCAGGACTCGCTCTGTGCGCGCCGCCGCGGCCCGTGTCCACTTGAGACAGAAGGCCGCCTGCCCAACAGCGGCCGCTGTTGGTTTGGGATATTATTCGTTGTTGGGCATCGTACCCATTTTTGTCCGTACCCACGTCGGGCGTCCACATACAGGCCTTCTCGACCCGCGTGGGCGGGGGGGGCCTCTGCGCCCGGCTCTCTGCGCCCGCCTCCTGCGCCCACTCCTCGTCCTTGTCGCCGTCGTCGTCGCCGTCGTCGTTGCCGTCGCCGTCGCCGTCGTCGTCGTCGTCGTCGTCGTCGTCGTCGTCGTCGTCGTCGTCGCCGCCCGGCAGCGTCAGCACTGGCGCCAGCGCTCGCCGTCGTCGGTTGCAGGGCCTCTTCCTGGTTCGAACCCCCCCGTTGCAATTCAGGGGGGTGGGGGGGCGGTTCGACCGCCCCCCCCTTGAGTGCCCCCTACCCTCTCCCTGGTTCGAACCCCGCCTTCAAGCGTCCACAGAAAACGCTTTTTTCTGATCTAGCGATTTGGCGGCCCGATACTGCTTGCTTCATATGCAGCTGAGGATGCCGTCATTTTCCTTCCCCCTCTCCCGTTTTACATCCTCCACATCCTCCCTTCCCTGTCTCTTTGCTGTTCCGCTTGCTTGTGTGATTGTTGGTGGCCTTGTCGTGTTGTTAGTGAGTTGCTACCTTTCTCTCTCTGCCTTAGCCTTACTCTGTCTCTGTCTGTCTGTCTGTCTGTCTGACTGACTGACCGATGCATGTCTCTCTTTCTCTCTGCCTCTCTCTCTCTCTCTCTCTCTCTTTTTTTTTTTCTCTCTCTCTCTCTCTCTCTCTCTCTCCCCCCTCACCAAGGGACGCTTCTTTCTCCCAAGCCAAGGTGCATAAGTCCCGCTGTCTCCATCCCTTGTCTCTCCCCTTTCCCTCGACCTTCTCATGCTTCCCCTCCTCCGTCACGCACTTCTCCAAACTGCTCCTCCTCCTCCTCCTCCTCCTTCTCCTCCTCCTCCTCCTCCTCCTCCTCCTCGTCTCTTTTGTGGCATCCATTATGTGAAGCCTTTTTCTCTTCTACCCGGGCTGTGCCTCTACGTGGGGGCGCGCAAGGCCATACTAGAAGTTCAGGCATAGAACCTGTCTGTGACGCTGGGTGCATTTTGATATTCTTTTGGTACGGAACCGTGCTTCCGCGCGCACTTTTGAGAAGCGTGCCACGATGCCCTGCCATGTCGTCGCTCTGTCGCGCACAAAAAGAGTCTGACTGAGGAGGATCTTTTTTTCTATCCCCTGTCGATAACACGGGATACCGGGCGTACCCGGGCAGGGGGGAGGGGGGCAAAGGGGGGACGGGGCCCAGTCACGTCACGACTCGCGCCGACGCCCTCCGGGACTGCTCGGGAGTCCTCGGCCCACTCCCACAGTGGCGCCAGCGAGAATCGTGACGTGAGCAGGGGCTGGGCGGGGGGAGCAGCGGGGCTGGCTACGGGCGTCGTCGCGAATATTCTTGGAGAGGCCTGACGGCCGGTGCCGCCGACCCTGATCGAAGGGCTAGGAGGGAGGAAGCGAAGGAGGAGAAGGAGGAGGAGGAGGAGGAGGGGAGGAGGAACTTAGGAGGAGACGATGAGGGGAGACAGGCACGAGCACGAGGACGGGAGGGGAGAGGAGGAAGGAGGAGGAGAGGAGGTGGGAGGAGGAGGAGGAGGAGGGAGGGGAGGAGGAGAGAGAGGAGGAGAGAGGAGGAGAGGAGAGGGAGGAGGAGGGGAAGGAGGGGAGGAGGAGAGGAGGAGGAGGAGGAGGAGAGAGGAGGAGGAGGAGGAGGATGGAGGAGGAGAGCGAGGAGAGGAGATGAGGAGAGGAGGAGAGGAGGGAGGAGGAGGAGGGAGGAGGAGGAGAAGGAGGAGAGGAGAGAAGGAGGGGGGAGAGAGAGAGGGAGAAGGAGGAGAGGAGGAGGAGAGAGGAGGGAGGAGGAGGAGGATGAGGAGGAAGGGGAGGATGAGGGGGGGAAGGATGGGGGAGGGGGTGGTCGGGGGGGAGCAACGGGGCTGGCCACGGGCGTCGTCGCGAATATGATTCCAAGAGCATGGGCTCGAGGATCCTGCGCGTGCCCAGCGCAGGGACTGTCCTCGTGAGTCGCCGCCGCCGCTGCTCCCATCGAGCCCGCTTCGCGCCCCGGCTTTCCCCGTCCCTGTTGAGCCCCTGGGCCTCTCTAAGACCCACTGGGGACGACGACCTTCGACGACGACGCCGCCGACGACGACGGCCTTCGAAGGCGGCGGCGGCGCGGTTCTGGCCGCGGGCGAGGAGGGGAGGCATCCCGGGACGCATGCGCGCAGCAGGTCCGAAAAGGCCCGTGGAGGCTCCCGGGAGCCTCGCGGCCACGAGGTGCTTCCGGAGGTCCCCCCGAGATCCGGGCGCCACAAATGTTCCGAGTCGGGTGCTCTCGCGCAGTCTCGGGCCCGGTCCAGCTCGAATTATGCAGCGTCAACATGAGGTCCAGGACCCTGGCAGTGAGTCCGCACGATGTTGCAGTTCCTTCGAAAAACAAGAACTGGCATGTTAGCCAGCGTGGGCCCCAAGCACTGATTTCATGCTCTCTACGCGGAGCAATCAAGGTGGTGCAGCCACTGTGGTGAAATCTAGGTGGTGCAATCAACGCGCTGCAATCTAGCTGGTACAGTTCACGAGGTGCAAGCTACGTAGCGCAAAGCGATGCAAAGCAATGCGCAGCGATGCAGGGCAATGCCAAGCAATGCAAAACAATGCCAAACAGCGCACTGCAATGCCAAGCAATGAAGCACAATGCAAAACAATGCAGAGCAATGCCACGCAGTGTAAAGCACTGCCAAGCAACGCAAAGCAACGCCAAACAATGCAAACCGATGGGAAGCCATGCAACGCAAGGCAAAGCTATGACAAGCAATGCAACGCAATGCGAAGCCATTCGAAAACATGCAAAGCAATGTAATGTGAAGCAACGAATCAATGCAAAGCAATGCAAAGCACATCAATGCAGAGCAACGCAAAGCAACACAACGCAATGTGCAGCAAGGCAGAGCAATGCCAAGCAAAGCAAAGGAAGCAGTGCAACGTAATGCAACGCAATTCAATACAAAGCAACCCACAGCAACGCAGCAATGCAAAACATTGCAAACCAATGCAGAGCAACGCCAAGCAATGTAAAGCAGTCCGAAGCAACGCAAAGCAATGCAAGGCAACGTAAGCCACTGCAACACAGCACAAAGTAATGCAAAGCAGTGCAGCAGTACAACTCAGTGCAAAGCAACGCTGAGCAACGCTGAGCAACGCAAAGCAACGCAAAGCAACACAACGCAACAAGCAGCAGCGCAAATACTTGCAAACCGATGCAGAGCAATGCCAGGCAATGCAAACCAATGCAGAGCATTGCCAATCGGTGTAAAGCAACGCGAAGCAAGGCAACGCAAGGCAACGCAGAGCGAAGCAGTGCACAACAACAGAAGGTGCTGCAAAGCACTGCAGCGCAGTGCAACGCCACGCCGCGACGAGGCGGCGACAAGGCCACGAGGGCGACAGCATAGCCGCCGGACCTGCAGTCAGGCCCGGAGGACGGGGCGGCGACGTCATCGGCCTCGTCATCGGCCCCCTCCTCCCCCTCCTCGCCTCCTCCGCCTCCTCGGCGGCGTGCGGCGCCCTCCAGGCTGGGCCCCTGGATCGCGGGGGCCCCGCGTGGCGCGCGGTCGCGGCGGCCGCCGTCAGGAGCAGGGGGGGGCGCCTGCGCCGCTGCGCGCCGCGGGCGTCGCTTCATCTTGGAGCCAGCTGGGAGGAGGAGGAGGAGGAAGAGGAGGAGGAGGATCAGGAGGAGGGAAAGGAGGAGGAGGAGGAGGAGGAGGAGGAG